GCATTATGTTTTAAATAATCATATGACATTTCCTTTCATCATTCCCATGAGACAGTCCTAGTATCCACATACTCCAGTTGAGAAGACAGACAAAGGGAGGCTTGAAACAAGGGGAGATAAAGCTAGAATCCTGGTTTTGACTCCCTCCCAAGTGCTTAATCCACTCCCCCACATTCCAATTTACAATAAAATGAAATTGGCACATTAACCTGAAAGGAAAGAAGAAAAGAAAGAAAAATGACCAAAGTCATTCACAGTAAATTCAGGCATATCCAATGAAGTAACAGTGAGTTTAGGCATATCCAAAAAGGAATTTGGCTCTGAAATGGCAAAACTGACTTAGAGCTAATGGGGGGAAAAGGCAGTTAAAGAATAATCTGGAAGTGTTTGAGAGTGGAATTAAAATGGAGATTTGGCTTATGTTCATTGTGAAGTGTCTTTTAAAAGAAATTCTGATGAGCAAACATGTTAAAAATAGAATTTCTACTCTTCCTGTCTCCTGGAAAGGCCTCTCATTTCCTATAGAAACGATGAAATGTGCAGCTCCGTAAGTACATGGAGGAATATAACAAATTTTCCAATCATCGGCACTGGTTATGTGAGGGATGCAGAAATAGAGCTTAACAGGACATTTTTATTTCATGCAAGAAATTCTTCATCATTTATTATAGTTATTAAGAAGACTCTGAAACTGTCAGTCCTGTCTTTGACAAAATGAATTGCATTTTAAGTGCCCTCAAAGCAAAATCTCTCATGAAGGACAAGCCAGAAATAGATGGGATAACACAGAAAAAAAAGCAGAAAGCAAGATGAATGAAACTAAAAAATGAGATGCTGTTTGAAGTATAACATATTTTAAAAATGGCAGGAAGAGAATGTAAAATGGCATAGCAAGAAGGGAATACATAGAGACAGGATATACACGTACAAATTCTTATGATCCAGATTTCCTCTAAGCACTTTCTTACTTGCATTGGTTATGAGATCATTTGTGTAAGTCTCTGTGCTTGAATATCACCATGTTTATATAAATATCTTTGAACCTTCATGTACTTAGAGTGCCATATGCTGTCTATGAGTTGTCATTTTAAAACACAAAAATAGAGAAAATGCAATTTATTGATTAGTATCTGATAGACTTTGCAGTGTTGTGGTGTAGCCAAAACAACACATTAAGAGAATGAACTCCTCCTTTTAAAAAAAAATTGATGCAACTTTCACAAATCACTTAATGCATCCTCAAATTCTCATTGGGAATATCATGACGATTATTTGTACTTACCCATCTTTAACATTGGTGACTAAAATTGGTGATTAACATTGGTGATTAACCAATTTTAAGTATTGGAATCCCTTGCACAAAATTTACTATCCTTTTAAATAGTTACACTATTCTCCTAATTCCTTTAATACTCTCTTGAGAGTTTATATAAAAATTGTTAAACAACCAATAAACTCTTCAAAGTTTATAGTGTATTATTTAAAAACCATGTTATTTAAAATTGATAATGCAGAGAACCTATGTAACTAACTCAATCAATCAAGCTACTTATTTCATTTGAAATGAAGAAAAGTGAAATATTTGCCTGAATTACACTTCATTTTACAAGACATATTAGTGGGCTCTCAAGTGCAATATGTAATAAACTCTATCCAACCTAAAAACAAGTATAAATACCAGAAACACATTTCAAGGTAGAAGTGATGCTTGAGTTATTTGTTTCAGTTTACTGGGTTGACAGCTCTAGGAGATGATGAGACAGGGAACAGAGAAAAGGGAAGAAATCACATTGTATTATATTCTAATTAGTTTCAACAAGTGATCTTTAATGGTCAAGGTGTTGTACTCAAATTACTCTGTGGGGTTATTATATTGTTAATATTTCTCTTCATTTGCTAAATTGACTACCACAACCACCAAAAATATTTAGAGCATTTACAGAGTGAAAAGTTAAGATTATTTTTAAGCAGATGCATTGGTGTATTCATCTATAACACATTCAATATATTAAAATCCACCAAATGTTATTAAAGAAATTTCAATATGCAGTTTTGAAGAACTAAAATGTCTTAATAATTTTTGGACTCTGCCTAAGAACTCTCTAAATATGAAAATAATCACCTTTGCAAAAAGGCAATACAAATTTCAAGATTATTAGTTATTAATACTCTCAGTAAAACAATAAATGAAGGCATTTTTGAAACATGTAAACCTGGAAATGTTTTACCTTGTGGAATTTTTAAAGAAAGTAACCTTCCTGCTCTTTAATATGACTATAACAGCAGCTGAAGGGACACAGCACAGTGAGTGCAATGGCTGAAGATAGTAAAGCATGACACATTTTAGCAGTGGAGTGTATCCGATATAATAAAAGGCTAATATGCAAATCGACCAAATAGTGGAATGACCAGTCACTATGATGTACATTGAACACCAGGGGACAGATGTTCAACACAGGAGCTGCCCTTGGTGGCCAGTGTGCCCCCACAGGGGGAGTGCTGCTCAGCCAGAAGCCCTGAGCCAGGCTCACAGCTGGCGAGTGTAGCAGCGGTGGCAGGAGCCTCTCCTGCCTCTGTGGTAGTCTGATATCCACTGAGAGCTCCCAGACAGTGAGAGGGTGCAGGTCAGGCTGAAGGACCCCCTGGAGTGCACGATTTTGTGCACCGGGCCTCTAGTCTATTATAAAATGAGAAATGTAATTAACCAATATTCATATTCCTACTTATGCCCAAAGCACTTAACGACTGCATGTTTGGAATATCTAAAATGTTATATTATTTTACCTAAAAAATCGAAGCTAATTGTATTTTGTTACATTTGCACCTGGCTGACATGTAAACTGAGCAAAGATGTCATTGTGCAGTAGAAACAGCTGCGTTTAGGAACAAATCTAAATACATTTTTGGTTTCTCATTATTATTAGTTTGAAGAACTATTAAGTAAAAAATAAATAAAGATCTTTGCCTTTTGTAAGAACATGTTTTATGTATGATTGAAGTTTTTACAACACTCCGAGAAAAAGCCATCCGATGTTAGATTTAAAAATAAAATCAAAAGCATTTTCTGACATAGTACACATGAAAAATTGGAAATTCCAATGTCTTCAATAGAAGTTATAGAAAGTGTATGTCTCCTTGGAATTTGACACCCACTTAACACAGCAGAAAATAAGGTACTATACTGTAAACAAAAAAGTACAGTAAAGGACAGTTGTAAATTTACATAAGAATAGTTCATAAACATTTTGGTCTTCCCATAACAGTTTTTATATAAAATGATTAAAAAAACCTTAGACAGCTGTCATCACTCTTGTTTGACCACTTTTCACTTAAATGCACACAGACATATTTATATAGCAATATATTGATGCACCGTTACATGGATATTAAACTATGATTACTGCTTGTAACTGAGATGTGCATTATCCATTCAACATTATCCATAGTTGGAATACTCTTACATTATGTATTCTTGTCATGTTGTATCTATAAAAACATGAAAATATAACTTTACATTATTTCAATTATTTACATTAGGTTCAAGCTTGACAGAGAAAATTCAATAAGCTACAATTTTTAGAAGAGTCGGCCCAGAGGTACAATAAATAGCATTAATTGTATATAGTCATCTTTTTTTATTTTTAAAAACTCATTTTAAGTACAATATGGAAACAATTAGTCTGCAATTTGGTCATTCTAGCATTTATTATTAAAATTCAAATTGCACCTCCAACATTCCTGATGAGGAGAAATGCACTAACTCATATTTTGTTATCTTCGACTCTGTGATAAGGGACAGCTAAATTTAGTGAAGAACATCATGATGCCACATGTCACCATGTTCAATGGAAGTGGTTGCTATTAAACCTTACATTTCTCTTTCCCTTCTCTGAAATATAAAGAGTATATTTTCAAAGCACTTAGGTAAATACCAAGTGCTGCACAAGAATAAAAATATTGAAAATAACTACTGGATGCCTATTTAAAACCCTAAATTAATTTTGTTTTAGGAGGCTCAATGAAAATAAATGTGTGTGTTTTTGAAGGGAAGATAGCTCCTTTAAATTTTTTTAACTAGAGAAATATAAGTTCTTTAGTCAAAAGTTACAGAAATGTAATATTTTATCCACACTGGGCATATTAAAATAGCCATTGCACTTGAGGAATGAGTATAAAAATAATAGATTAGGGTTGGGTTTATTGATGGCAATGGGAAGAAACTCTATTACAGGTGATTCAAAGTGCTTACGCTATTCATAATACCTAAGGCTTATGACAGCTCTTATAATTAAAAAAAAACACCAAAAACCTTAGATTTAGTTTATGGAGTTTGATCAATGGGCACCTATCTAAAAAGCTACTTTCAAGGCATTCCTAATGTCTAATACTTCTCTTCTGCAAGCTCAAACACTTTAAAATGGAACCTCACATACTGAATATTCTGATTTTTTTAAATTAGTTTCTTTAATCTATTAGCATTTACCTACATAGATTAAATGCTTTACATTAAACATATATTTATATATAGTAAGACATACTAAAAACAGAATCAGGTATTGTTTGGGGACAAGTTGAGACTTTTAAATACCACCTGGCCTTCTTTTATTAAAAGGGGACAATTTTCTCTGGGAACCTAATAATTTGATAGTGTCTTTAAACTCACTTGATTTATGACCAAACTGTAGCTAAGCAAAATTAACTGGACCCCTTGCAAATAAAACAATAGAAAATGTTTATTTCAAATGTCAAGCATTGCCAAGTAATTTTATATTAACACCAAATGTTAAAGAATAGGATACATTAAAGTTTTAATAACAATATTAAATTACAAGATTTGAATCTCTCTTTGTTTTCTTTCCTTAACATTTACATATTTGGCTTTGGAAAATACAGAACTGATACCTAATCACTTCCCACTCCTTTGCTGTTGTTTTTGTATCTTCTCCAACCAATATGGAAGCAAATTTATTTAAAAGCCAGTTTGTTTGTGAAAATACCTA